AACAGTGTAGTTTCTTGACTTGTGGGATAAGTAGATTTTAAGGAGTAGTGTTTATGGCTCTTAATTGCTGGAAAATCTGGCTTGGAAAGACTAGGGCTCTCTGTGGCTGCAAAGTAACTCTTTCTGGGCTTGACTTCTACTTTCACAGACCTCAGTAGTTAGAAGGAAGGAAAGTTCAGAAGCTGCAAGTCTCTCTCTCAGTTGTATTCTTGGAGACCTGATGAAGTGTCACATTATTATTATTTCTGGCTACCTTATAGCCATGTAAAGGTGAACTGTGGACACTTTCCAAATACTTGGATCCAGTTTGAGTTCAATCTAAATTGAAGACTTGTGATCAGTCTACAGGTGTCAGCAATTCAACTTCATTTACAAGAAATCTGGTGGACCATGAGAACTCATCAAATTCTATTTTTGGACCCTTGGCTAACAGGATTGTTTAACTCACTGCCACTTCTTCATGGTGGGCGTACCTTGAAGAGAAGTTCTGCTCCTCTCTCCAATGGGATTTACTCCTTACCCCTCCCCTCCCCTAACTTTTCTTCTGCATGAAAATCCACTTTCCTGGCTACCATCAATTCTGACGAAGGGTCACCGGACCCGAAACATTAACTCTGATTTCTCTTCACAGATGCCGCCAGACCTGCTGAGCTTTTCCAGCAACTTCTGTTTTTGTATCTTATGCGTTTTTTAAACAAGACATCACCTCTGCAGAGATAGTAGGAACTGCTGATGCTGGAGAATCTGAGATAACAAGGTGTAGAGCTGGATGAACACAGCAGGCCAAGCAGCATCAGAGGAGCCGGAAAGCTGACGTTTTGGGTCGAGACCCTTCTCTGCAGAGTCTGTTATCTGTCGTGTTGTGCGGGTATCTCTGTGATTAAAAGGGTGATATTATTCTAATTCTGAAATTATAGTTTAAATGTTAAACAATGTGTGACATACGCTGTTCAGGGTGAGTTTGTTTTATTACAAAAAACCTATCTTCAGCACAATAAAGAAAGCTGGTGAAAGTCTCTTTTATTCTGGCGACCAATATAAGGCCCATTTTATTGATTTGTGATTTGTGATTTGGGGAATGCCAATGACATAGTGGTATTGTTGCCAGCAGGACCAGGACCTGTTCTGGGGATCTGGGTTTGAATCCCACCACAGCAGAGTTTAACAAAAACTGGAATGAAAAGTCTAATAATGACCATGAAACCATTGTTGATTGCTGCAAAAACCCCATCTGGAAATCCTGGCCTCCTCCTTGTGGGAACATCTCCTTCTCTATCCACTTCTTCAATGTTACCCACTGCCCTGATGCTGATCACCTTCAGGTAACTGCTTCCAGTCCACCTTTACCAAATCATAGCTCAGTTTTGTTACACAGGCCTTTGCCCAATGGAGGAATGTTTAATCCTGCTCTACCTTGATCCTCTTCATATTTACGGTGTATAACAATGATGACATTTATAAGACGATAATGCTTTGGAACAGAAGATTTAAACTTATGACAAATGGGAGGAGTCATGTTGCCAATTTGGAAGTCTGTAATGAGAGCAGCGAATCTTAGGGTTAGTACTGGTAATTAGCATTTCAACTTCGATGCAAGATTAATGTGCTCCATGTTGCTATGGGGAAAGAGGGTACAGAAGCCATTTTTGAGATCAGATTACAGGCCTCCCTAGAGCAACATATACCACAGATAGAAAGCAGTTTGTGTGGACAGCAAAGAGAAAAGGTTTTGTGAGCTATCACAGTTGGGTATGGGAGGGAGACGGTCTCTGTCAAAGAGACACATTCTGCAATTAGCAAAGGGTTCTGTCTGCAGATAGCCAGGGGCAAGAAACAATACAACAGGCTTTGCTGCTGTTGGTGGATTCAGGAATCCCCAGAAAATAAGGAAAATGATTAGAAACTCAAACTTATTATTCAGCAAAACAGAGCTATAAAAATCCAATGGAAGCTGGGAATAACTGTGAAGTGTTTGTTAAAGAAACTGTGATGCCATGGGAAATTTGATGTGTGACAAGTACAAAATAGGATTGCTTCTGTCTTTAGTTTAAAGCATACAAAAGAAAATTGTGTTTAGTCTGTAGTGCTTTTATTCATTTGCTGTGATTAAAGTATTGAAATGTTGAAATTGTGCCTTTCCAGCTATTAGGTGGAATTTCCAAATTTCCAGTTCTGAAGACAGGTCTCTGGACTAAAACATTGACTCTGCTTTCTCTCCACAGATACAGTCATACAGTCATACAGAATGGAAACAGATCCTTCGGTCCAACCAGTCCATGCTGACCATAATCCTAAACTAAACTAGTCCCACCTGCCTGCGCTTAGCCCACATCCCTCCAAACACTTCATACTGATGTGTGCAATTATTCACTTCTTATCTATATGTCTTTTAAATATAACTGTACCCACATCCACCACTTCATTCCACATACACTCTGTGTAAAGAAACTGTCTCTCATGTCTTTTTAAATTCTTTCTCCTCCTCACGTTAAACTTATGTCCCTAGTCCTAAAATCCCCCACTCCCAGGAAAAAACATCTGCCATTCACCTCGTGATTTTATAAACCTCTAGAAGGTCACCTCTCAAGCTCCTATATTCCACTGAGAAAAGTCCCAGTTTCTCCAGCCTCAAACCTGCACTTCCTGGCAATTTCCTGGTAAATCTCTTCTGAACCCTCTCCAGCTTAATAATATTTTTCCTATAACAGGGAGACCAGAACTGGACACAATATTCCAGAAGAGTCAATACATGGGGAGCTGGAAAAGCACAGCAGGTCAGGCAGCATCTGAGGAGCAGGAAAAATCAACGTTTCAGGCCGAAACCCTTCGTCAGGACTGGGGAGGGGGAAGGAAGCCCAGAAATAAATAGAGGGAGGGGTGTGGGGATACGGGGAGAGTGGATGGGATGGAGATATGTGGATGCAGGTGGGAGGTTATTGTGGTTGGTCAGTGGGCGGGTGGAATGGATAGATGAGTGGGAAGGAGGACAGGTTGGGGGTGGAAAGATTTTGAAGATGGTGAAGTCAATATTCAGGTCATTGGGCAGTAAGCCATCCATTTGAAACCCCCCTGACTCCCACAATTATCTTGACTACACCTCCTCTCACACAGCCTCTTGCAAAAATTCTATCCCATCCTCACAATTCCTCTGCCTCTGTCGCATCTGCTCCCAGAATGTGGCATTCTACTCTAGGACTTCCCAGATATTCTCCTACTTTAGGGACCGTAGTTTCCCCTCCTCTGTTATTAAGGATGCCATCATCCGCATCTCCCCCATTTGCTGCACTTCTGCCCTCAAACCCTCTCCCAACAACAAGGATAGAGTCCCCTTGGTCCTCACATACCACCCCACTAACCTCTGAATACAGCGCATCATCCTCTGATATTTCTGCCACCTACAATCAGTCCCCACCACCAAAAAGCTATTTCCCTCCCCACTCCTGTCTGCTTTCCTCAGGGACTGTTCACTCAGCGACTCCCTCGTCAGTTCCACACTCCCCACCAATCCTTCCACAGCAGCAGGTACCTTTCCCTGCAACTGCAGGATGTGCTGCACCTGCCCCTACACCTCCCCTCCCACCTCCGTTCGAAGCCCCAAACAGTCCTTCCAAATCCAGCAGAGATTCACCTGCACTTCAACTAACCTCATCTACTTGTTGCTCCCAAAGCAGTCCCCTCTATATCACGGAGGCCAAACGCAGACATGGAGACTGGTTTGCAGAGCATCTGTGCTCTGCACGTTCCAACAAACCCAACCTTCCAGTTGCCATCCACTTTATCTCCCCCTCCCACTCCCCTGGTGACATGTCCATCCTTGGGCTCCTCCACTGTCAGACTGAGGCCAAATGTAAACCGGAGGAACACCACCTCATATTTCACCTTGGGAGCTTATAGCCCAATGGCCTGAATATTGACTTCACCAGCTTCAAAATCTCTCCTCCCCCAATCTGTCCATCTTCCCACTCACCTATCCGCTCCACCCTTCCCCACTGACCAATCCCAATAACACCCTACCTGCATCAACCTAGCTCCATTCTCCCTTCCTTTATTTTTTTTATTCATTAACAGGATGAGGACATCACTGACCAGGCAGCATTTATTGCCCATCCCTAATTGCCCAGAGGGCAGTTCAGAGTCAACCACATTGCTGTGGGTCTGGAGTCACATGTAGGCCAGACCAGGTAAGGATGGTAGTTTCTGGGCTCCCCTCCCCTCCCCCTCCCCGTCCCCAATCCTGACGAAGGGTTTCGGCCTGAAACGTGGATTTTTCCTCCTCCTCGGATACTGTCTGACCTGCTGTGTTTTTCCAGCTCCACATTTATTGACTATAGCTTCCAGCATCTGCAGTCCTTACTGATTCCAGAAGAGGCCTCACCAACGTCAGGTTTCCTTCAGTTTCTCCAGCAATTTCTGTTTTTGTTTCACTTTTGAAATGGTATTATATTCACTACCCCTGGACACATACTCATTCACAGATGCAGTGACCCAGACACACACAAAGGAGAGCCTGGGTGCAGGGACTTGTATAAACAACTTGTAAAACCCCAAACATAAACCTGGGATAAAACACAAACACACAAGATTGTTCGGAACACACCATGCAGTGTGGAGCTGAGTTTACAGACATGCTTCTTGCGCCTTCACGAACTGCACAGCTACACACAAAAATACACTCTCAGAGTCAGCAACAAGCTGAAAGTTGGAGCAAGCCAGTCAGTCAGGCAGGAACAAAAGGAAAAGTGCAGTACCCATGACTCCTAGTCCGCACACGGATCCCAGTGGAGACGTCAAGGACATCAGGAGGGGGAAGGTCAGGAATGGTTTCCAGATGGTGAGAGGGATGATAGAAGCAGTGAGAATGAGTGCAGGAGGAGGATAAGGCAGGTCCAAACACATCAGAGCAGGTACACATATAGGAAAGACTTTGCATACGGCGGAGAGATGCCCTGTTGCTCCATGGAAGAGATTCACTTTGCCCAGGAATAAAACCTTCTACCAACCTCTGGGAGCCAGCAGCGTGCTGAGAGTCAACCTGACGCTGGCGAACAGACGGATGCACGCTGAGGGAAGCTGTGAGGAAAGAAAATAGAACAAAACACTCAGAGCACAGGAAACATCACCTTTTACCTGCCCATGGCCCCAAATGCCCGGACCAGTCTGCCCCCAGCGTCAGTCCCATGCTGCCATACCCCAGTGTCTACATCCATCACCTGGTGCTGTTTGTCCATCCCCAGTGCATCAGTCCAAATTCATCTCCAAATCCCCACTGGACCTGGCACCTAATGCAAGACTGCCCTGTTGCAGAGACCAGAGTCTCCCACTAGCTGTGCCACTGGGAAGGTGCAGAAACACCAGACCTATGCTACCCAGGAGGGGCACAGCTTCTACTCGTGTCACTTCATAAGTGGGCAGCATGTAGGTGGGCAGAGCTCAAGACAGTTGGGCTGAATTCCTCAGCTCCTGCTCTTGAGATAATGTAGAACTGGGTCTTCATATTGAGAGTGTCACAGCTGTTGTTATGAGTCCAGCCTTACCATGAGCAGACCCATGTCACTCAGGCCACAAACAGGACTGTGGTACCAGGAACCTTCTCAACACCTCCCTCCTGTTACTATACAAATACTGTGAATAGACAGTGACCAGATCAGAGCTAACATGCTGTTAGAAGCGGATTATTGTGCAAAAGCTACAATACGATAGGCTTAAGTGCTGATCAAGCTGTGGAAAATGCTTTGTTAGTTAAAAAAAGCACCATTAGATCAGCTTAGTTCTGAGCTAGTGAGAAGGACACCATTAACCTCACTTTAGGAAGGGGGCTTCTCTGTTTGTGACTTGAAATGAGGGTCAGCAGAGGAAGAAAATGTGACGATAGAGAGACAGCCAGCCACAGAGTGAGGAGAACAGAGTGGTGGTGAGAGTTAAGGGAGAGTGAGGCAGTGAGAGAGAGAAAACAGGTGGCCACTACAGCTGATTCTTCAACAAGGGAAAACAACCTCTCCACGTCTACCGTGTCAAATCTCTAAGAATCTTGTATATTTCAATAAGGTATAATAATCATTCCTCTAAATTCCAATGAATACAGACCCAACATACTCAACCTCACACATCACCTGGGATCAAGTCAGTGAACCTTCTCTGGACTGCCTCCAATATCTTTCCTTAGATAAATGGCCCAGAACTGTTATAGTATTCCAGCTGTCATCTGACTAGTACCTTGTGTAATCTTAGCAAGACCACCTTATTTTTATACCCTACTCCCTTTGAAGTAAAAGGCTAACATACCCTTTGCCTTTGCCTTTTCTACTGGCTGTTCAACTTGGTTACTAGTTTTTTGTGATTTATGAACAAGAACTCCTAAATTGCTCTACTCAGTATCATTCTGCAGTCTTTCTCCATTTAAATAATATTCAGTCCCTCCATGCTTCATGACAAAGTGCATAACTTCTCATTTTCGCACATTATACTCCATCTACCAAGTTCTTGCCCAATCCTTGGTCATCCTCAACACTTGTCACAAAATTAAGTAGGAAGGCATGTGCAAACCTGATGACAGTACACTGACTTTCCTCATCCCAGTCATTAATATATATTGTAAATGACTGTGGCTCCAGCACCGATTCCTGTGGCACTCCACTGGTTAGATGTTTCCATTCTGAAAATGCCCCCCTTATCTCAACTCTCTGTCTTATTAGTTAGCCAATCCTCTATCCACAGTACTATAATACCTCCAACACCATGGGCTTGTATCTTACTAAGTTACCTAATGTGGGATATCTTATCAAACGACTTTTGGAGATACCAATATATTACATCTCCTGGTTCTTTGTTATCTATACTGCTAAAGAATTCAAATAAATTTTGTCAGGTATAATTTCCCTCTATAAAGCCACACTGACTCTGCTTAATCAGAGTCAGTATTTCTAAAAGCTCTGCAATTAAATCCTCTATAATGAATGCTAACATTTTCCCAATGACAGATGTTACCAGGGTTTTTATCAGCATTAATCTCTTCACTAGCATTCAGTTTGGATTCTATCAGAGTCAGAGTCATTCAGTTTATGACTTTGATCCAAGCGTGGATAATAGAGCTGAACTCAAAAAGGTGAGGTGGAAGCGACTGCACTTGACAGCAAGACAGCACACGACCAAGTATGGCATCAAGGAGCAAAATTGGAGTCTTTGTGAATCGGGGGAAAGTTCCAACTGAAACATAACTGGATTAGCCTTGTAAATACTGTAGCTACAAGAGCAGGTCACAGGCTCGGAAATCTGTGGCAAGCAACTCACCTCATTTCTCTAATGCCTGCTCACTATATTTTTCTATCTTCATTGATGAGGCGTGGCCCAGCATTTACTGCCCGCCCCTAGTTGCCCTTGAGAAGGCGGTGGTAAGCTGGGAGACTTTCTGAATTACTGCAGCTCACATGCTGTACATAGCCCCACAAAGCCATTTGGGAGGGAATTCCAGGATTTTGATCGAGTGACACTGAAGAAACAGAGATATAGTTCCAAATCAGGATAGTGAGTGGCTCGGAGTGGAACTTACAGGGGGTGGTGTTCCCATGTATCTGCTGCCCTTGTCCTTCAAGACTGAAGTGGTGTGGGTTTGGAAGGTGCTGTCTAAGAAACTTTGGTGAATTTCTGCAGTGCATCTTTTAGATAGCACACACTGCTGCCTTTCTGATCCGCTGTACCTTGTACATGGTGGACAGTGTCTGGGGAGTCAGGGGGTGAGTTACTTACTGCAGTATTCCTGGCCTCTGGCCTGCACTTGTAGTCACAGTCTTTACATGGCTAGTCCAGTTTCTGATAATAGTAACCCCCCAGGATGCTGGGGATCTATAAGGCGCAAGTCAGGTGTGTAATTGAATACTCTCCACTTGCCTGGACAAGTGCAACTCCAATAGCGCTCATAAAGCTGGAACTCCTTTGCTAACGGCATTATTGAGGGTCCCTACACAGACAGAAGCATATCAACCTGGCAGCTCACAACCACCTTCTTCAGGGCATTTACAGTTGGTCAGAAAGGGCTCATATTTGGCAGTGCCAGTAATTATTGCCAATGAATTGTTGCCTTGAGAAGTGAAACATTCTTGATATGATGACCCTACTGGGCCACTTCAGAGGACAGTTACAATCAGTTAACCACTTTAGCATGGGAGTGGAGTCAGAGACAGAACAAGACTGAATAAGGATGGCCAGCCAGCTTTCTTCATCAAAGGCGACAAGTCAACTGGTTGGGATTTTATGACAATCCGACATCTGCCTGGCTACTTTTACTGAGACCATATTTATATTTTGATACTTTTCATCATCAACATCATTTTGTGGTGGGATCTTTTCTATCTGGATCGCTGATCCAGTGCCATGAGCAGTAGGTTGCAGAGTGATATTATGCAGGATTAGCCCCAGCAAAGGGGCAGTGTACTGATGTGGCAATGTAACTGGCCCAGTAATCCAGAGGACCAGGCAAATGTTAGGGGACACAGGTTCAAATCTCACCATGGCAGCTGGTTAAAATTTAAATTCAATTTTATAATTTAAAAAACCTGGAATTGAAAACTATTCTCAGTAATGGTGCCTTCGATTGTAATGAAAATTCATGTGGGTCTCACAGGGCCTTCACAGAGGGAAATCTGCTATGTTCCAGTTAATTCCTTTGTCTTGTGCATAGATCTCAGAGGTCCTTGTATGACCAGAAGCAAATGCATGTTGTCATGCCGACCATCGTGTGTGTTCCTTGGAGCAACTTCACCCATCGCAGCTTAGAGGGAAAACTACTCCTTACCTGGTCTGGCCTACACGTGACTCCAGACCTATGGTAAAGATGTTGATTATCCTCTGAAATGGCTGAGCAAGCCATGCAGTTCAAGGGCAATTAGGGTTGGGCAATAATTGCTGGCCTTGCCAGTGACAACCACATTCCATGAAAGACTGAAAAAGGGAAGGTAAGTTGTTTCATCCTGAGGTTTTCTGCAAAGAAAGAGCTCAAAGGTCACAACCTGCAGAGAGTCAGGAAGCACAGCATGCCTGGTTTTGTGAGCAGAAGTGATGATTAAGAAATGAAAGACAGAGATATATATATATATAATCTCAAACCAGTGGAGTTCCATCTTGAAAGATTATCCAGGGGTGTCCTGGAGCGATCAATGACTCTTTGATCCATTAACCATGCCATATCTGGTCCAATGCCAATCCCAGTAAAGAAAAAAGGAACATATTTACATACTGCACATAATACAGTCAGTAACTTGGCCACCCCTTAAATCGCTACGTATTTTCTACTAGTAAGCTTAGTAAACAAATTCATACACATAGCGTGACTGGGGCATTAAATCATATGCAAGAAATAAGCTTGTGTGATACAGGATTACTTAATGCACAGTGTTAACGTGCTAAAGGATGTTTGCAAGGAAACGTGGGACAATATTATGTATGTTTGTCTTGCATTATCTCACCATGGCTCTGGTGACAAGTATACCCGTATACAGAATCACTGTTAAATGAATGACAGATCCAGTGATTAAACAGGGCCTCTTAAGTCTCAGTTTTTTTCAGTAGCATTTAGGGATCAGTTTGTGTAATTCCAAACACTCATTTTTTTTTTTAATGGAGAGAATAAGTGGACTGTGCTGTTTAAATTGCTCTCCCTGGAAACACTGTTCAGTTTGCAAGGCAGAATATATAATACAGAAATGGGTAATGATCAGAGCTTTCCACATTCAGTGCTTCAAACTGCTAAAATCACCACAAAGACATGGATGCACAAACAGAAAATCAACGTCAATGGACTAGTCACTGGCGACAGGCAGAGAAGAGACGATGAAGTGCAGGCAGCTAAATAGTTATTTACTTACTGATACAACCAGATACAGGATGAGCTTCAGAGCAGAGAGAGAGAGAATAAAACAAGACTCTACGAAATAATGTAAAGTCGTTGCATGAAGAAAGGTTTAGTGGATGCTTTATCAGAGCAACAAAATCACTTGTAACAATTATTCAGACATTAAGTTCTGGTGCCAATGCATAAACAGGGATGTTAAGGGCAGTCACCAGTACTTCACAGGACCACTACTCACAGCGACACTGAGTCAGGATAGAGAGAGAGTGCAGACCAAATAAACTTAAATGCTGCTAACACCCACTAAAACACTTTGGTTTTGAACCTCATGGAGTGCAGGATCAACATCAATCTGAATAAAAAACGGCTGTACACAGCAAGTCTTGATAAATAGTTATATCTAGACTGGACAATGATGGACAGCACTGCTCCCCAAGGGTCAGTGCTGAACTACTGCCTTTTTGATGCTTATAAATAACTTGAACATTGGAAAACAAGAGTAAAATCTTAAAATCTAACCATGATATCAAACTTGGTAAAGTTGCAAATAGTGAGGATAATACCACTCAACTACAACCAGACACAGATAGGCTGGGAGATTGGGCAGGCAGGGAGATTGGGCAGGCAGGCGGCAGATGGAATTTAACACAGGGAAGTGAGATGTATTGCATTTGCCAGAAGAGATAGGGAGAAGTGATACAGTCCAAATGGCCCAGTTCTAAGGAGTATGCAGGGACAAAGGGATGCGGGTTTGATCTTTGAAGGATGTTCTGAGAGATGAATACTTTTTTCCTATTTGGTCAGGAGGTGCAGGCACCGTTAGTTAGATCAGTATTCATTGCTCATCCCTAACTGCCCTTGAGTTAGCAAAGCTAATGGGATCTCAGAGACATTGAGTACAAAGGTAGGGAGGCTGTGCTGTGTATTTATAAAACTCTGGTTGGGCCATAACTAGAATACTGTGTTCAGCCACATTGTAGGAGCGTGCAGAGGAGATTTATCAAACAGTTCCAGGGATGAGCAAATTTTAGTGACAAGATTAGGTTGAAGGAGCTCAGACTGAGCTCCTTGGAGATGATGAGCTGAATAGAAGCAAAGATGAAGGAGGAATGTGAGTGCTAATGGCCTGAAACTCGCTGCCTACAAGAGTGGAGGAACTGGCAAGGATGGATGACTTTAAAAGGCAGCTGGATTGTCACTTAAGGGAAATTAGTTTACAGCAGTCACAAGGGTGTGTATGTGTGTGTGTGTGTGTGTGTGTGTGTGTGTGTGTGTGTGTGTGTGT